GAGTTTACCAAGGGAGATAGTATAGATGGAGAACAGTAGGGGACCAAGGACTGAACCTTGGGGGACACCAACAGAGAGATACATATATATATATATATATACATATACACACACACACACACACACACACACACATATATACATATACACACACACACACACACTCTGCATGACCTACTGTCACGATTAAAGGATTAATATACAAATGAGAAATAGGACTATGGAGTAAGTAGAAGATTGTACTATAAGAAAATAAATATTGGTCTGTATTTATTAACAACAAAAAAGTGATTTAATGATGTGATACTTATATTCTAAGGCAATAAGTCACACCATGTAAACCTAACCTATTTTTTTATCTTTATAACAAGCTTATTGGGTTTACAGGAAAAGACTTGTGACACTTTAATGTGGCAACATTGTGTGTGTGTGTGTGTATATTAGATTGGATTATTTCAGTAGACAATATATATTTTGATTTGTTTGAGACTAGAAGAACAAACAAGTTATTGTAAAAGCCACAATTTTCTGAAGACGGCATTATGGAGAATTTTTCCTACAAAAATTAATCACCAAAACAACTGTTGTACTATAAAATAAATACATTAGGTGAGATATGCCAGTTTTTACATGACATATTTAAAACACATTAACATTACTGGATTTTACGAAAACGTGTGCGCTTGTTTAAAATGTACCGGTTATCCGTGAATATGTGGACACAATTTGTGTCCAGTGAATACAACATTTAAATAGTTATTAAACAAATTTTGGTAAACATCCACTAGTTCCCTTTTTATTCCTTTACGTGGACAGTCCATATTCACTAAGAGAAAAGAAAGAACTACACATCACAAAATTATTCAAGGCTAATTCTATATAAATTTAAAAAAAAAAATTTTTTAGAAAAAAACCCACATTTGAAGATGGTAACTGACCTTTTAATTTAATTTAGATATCTCCAAACAATCTCTCCATTCTAACTATTACTCCAAAGCACTCAATACCACATTAAGCACCATGACTAAAGCAGCCAAAAAAACAAATCTACTGCATTCCTTAAATTTAATAACATCTTCCTAACAAGCAGTTATAATCAGTAATGCAGGAAGCATCTGATTAGTAACCACAGCACAGAAATCAGACAGAAGGCGCCTGGCATGAAATACATAACAATGGCTCTCATTACAGACAAGGTAAGATTAGATGAATGAAACAGCATTTTTATGAAAGGTACATTTGTGTTAATGCAAAATAGCCAATGTAGAAAAGTGTTCACACCATGTTATTTGCATACACACCAGAACCATCAAATACTAAGTTAAGCCGTGTTATATTTAAAAAAGTTAACCATGAATCTGCTAAGGTACAAATATAAGAGAAACAAAAAAGACAAAAAAAAAAAAAATAGCTCCTAAAGGAAAAGGAAAAAACACAAATAAGTAGATATTAAATGGGAACTGACACTTCTCTGAAAACTACACCATTGAATAACACGCTGGAAATCATCTGCAACTTGTGCTAGCCTTTTCTCTAGATGTTTAACGTTTAAAAGAAAATGGTACAGCAATGACTTTGCAATTAATATCGCAATTCAGACCTGGCACAAACAAGGACAAACATTGCATCAGAGGAGTGACTGAAACATTGTTTAAATGCCGATTGCCAAGAGATCATAAAAAAATACAGGCAGAGATACTGGTTTCCAAATATATTAGGGATAATAATTACATAGTATTAAGAATCCTGAGAAATGACAGTCCCCCTTTAAAACACAGTTCTTACACCATTTCATATGATGTGTAAACTCAAGGTTTCCACTTCCTACTAGCCATTAGTAAGTGAATGTTTAGCCCTAGAGAGTAGAAATGTACCCCACGTGAGTGTGACACGGACCTCCAAGGCTTGCAATAACAAGTAATGTGTAATGCCAGACTAGAAGTGTAAGATTTGAAATTACTGGCATTGTAGAAGATATTGTAAAAAAGAGATCATGAATGGACTGCTTCAATCAGCAAAGAACTTTAACCCCTTAAGGACAAAGCTTCAGAAGCTTGTATTTCACTTAATGACAACAGCATTTTTTTCATTTTTTGCTGTTTGCGTTCAACTGCAATTTGCATTTTACTAATTTATTGCACAGACACATATATCGTTTTTAAAGGACAGAAAGGGCTTTAATTTGAAGACATATATTATGTATTATAAAGAAAAAAAATACAGAAAAATGCAAAATACAGGTTTTTTTTTTTTGGTTTTTTTTTTACAGGTTTTGCAATAATAATGTGTGCATAATTAGTGCAGGTTAAGGAAAGTAATTAAAAATAAATTCATTTAGTTGTTCTGATTTACAGAATATATAATGTGTCTGGGATTTTAAGTTTTTTTGGGTAGTTACAGGTCACCAAGCACAAGGAATAAAATAAACTTTTTAATGTGGAGCGATTTTAGAATTTGGTATGTCTTGTAAGCTTAATAGCCATAAAAGAAAACAAAATTGCCACACAAAAGTATATATTTATAGAAATTAGACATCACGAGCTATTTACCTAGAGCTGTTTTGACACTTTCTACGTAGCCATTTCACTGCCAACCTCTGCTAAATATTGGAGTAAAATTGTGGGGGGGTTTTTTTGGTTTTTGGCACACAAACTTATCAAAAGAATTCTCATGTGTATTTTGTAAAGTTGGTGTGTGCTATTCCTGTACAAAAGTTTTATTTTGTGTTCAGTTACATCTGCAGAGTAAAATGACACCCCCATTGAATGTCTTTGGCACTATTTCATGAAGTTACATTGCCATATAGGAGGCCTGTTCTTTTCAGTATTCACAGTAGAATTTTGAGAGACTGATTTAATGAGCCTATGCTTCCATTTGGGGAATTATAACAGTTTGACTATTCAAAAAAAAACAAAAACACAAAGGCCTACCATTTGTAAAAGTAGACACTCCAGGGTATCTCATAAGGTGCATATTGTGCCTTAACATGCCCCCATTTTTTTCACCAATATATGCTAAAGTAAAAAATAATTTTGTGCGTTTTTTACATATGGATTGCATTTTTGCTGGGCATTTTGTATATTTCACATGTGCCACTAAGTTCAAATTCCCCAAATTATGATCGGCTAAGTCTTCTGAGTAAAAAGACACCCCCAATGAATGTCTTTGGCACTATTTCGTAAAGCTACAGTGCCATATAGGAGACCAAGCTATATCAGTTTTTACCGAACTTTCACTTTTGACGCTGGGCCTATGTGCAATTTCCAAGCATCTTAGCAGGGTTTAAGAAATGGTAGGCCTTTGTGGGGTAGTTTGAATTTAAAGTAGACACCTTAGGGTATTTCAAAAGGTATATTTTAAACCTTAGTGTGGGATCATTTTTCCGCTAGCTTGTACCAAGTGTAGTGGTAATAAGTGTTTTTTCTGCCTTTTTGACACACAAAGTGAGTTTGCAAACCTTATGTGTGCTACCAGTGTATAATACTTATTATGTCGGCTGAGTACAGCAATACCCCCGTATGTACCTTTGCCAGGTATATGCGGACATCGGAGGAGCACATTTTGGACAGGGCCATTCCAGTTTTTTTCAAACTTTGAATTTTTATGCTGTGCCCATGTCCCATTATAGAGTATTTTACCAGGCTATATAATCCAAATACCCCATAAAGCCATAACATTTCTTAAAGAAGACATCCCAGGGTATTTCAAAAGGCATATTTTGAACCTTAGCGTGTGATCATTTTTCCTCTAGTTTGTTCCAGGTATAGTGGTAATGAGCGTTTTTAAAAAAAATTTTTTTTTTTACTTTTAAAAACTAGTTTTTAAACTTTTGTTTTGCTTATTAATTTTTTTTAAACTTTCCTAAACTTTCTTAAATTTTTTTTTTTTTTAACAGATTTAACATTTTTGTAAGTTTTTTTTTTTTACCGTTAACCCCTAACTAGCAGTAAGCAGCACTAACAGTAAATTCCCCATTTTCCCATAACTCCCACCCACCCCAGCTAGCAAAATATATAATTATAAAATATTTAAATTAATTAAATAAATTGAACCCCTGAGGGTTAAAAAATAAATAAAAGTTAATCCTCAAGGGTTAAAAAAAAATGAGTTCACAGTATAATACTGTGATCTGTATTTTGATCACTGTAGGCAGTGATCGACTGGCAGGGAAGGGGTTAATTTTTATTTGGACTGGGTAAAGGGGGGTGTTTTTTAATTTTTTTACTTAAACGTTATTACAATTTTTTTTAGCTTAATTTTCTTTTTCAAGTTTATTTTAAAAACTTGTAACGTTAACCCCTAGTCAGCCTAACACCAAATCCCCCAATTCCCCACTAACTTCCACCCACCCCAGCTAGCTAAACATATAATTTTAAAATATTAAAATTAATTAAATAAATTAAACCCTTGAGGATTAAAAAAAAAAAAAAAATAAAAAAAAAAAATTAACCCTCAGGGGTTAAAAACTAAATAAATATATCAGATGACAGTAAAATGTAATCCCTGCCAATTGATCACTATAGCCAGTGATCAATTGGCAAGGAAGGGGTTCATTTTTTATTAAAACGAGTAGAGGGGGGTGGGATTTTTAATTAAAAAAAAAAAAAAAAATTGTTTAACAGGGGGCAGGATCATCACTGATCCGTCTCCCTGCACTTCCCACAGAACCAGGAAGTGCAGAGAGGCGGAAGGTGAGTACGCTATGCACATGTGCTCGCTGACATGCTGTCAGACCTAGCACATGTGCTGGGCAGCACTATCGGGTGCTCCCGGTCGGCCTCTAATACAGAGGCAGACCGGAGCACCATTAACCCCGCGACGGACATGGTCTGTCACTCGTCATTAAGGGTTTCCCCTGAGTGACCGACCTTGTCCATCACTCGTCGCTAAGGGGTTAAGAAAAACTTTAATAAAGTAATGCAGACTACAGGAAAATAAATAAATAAAAAGTTACTTGCACACTATCCCAAATTTCTATGCACCTTATAATAACTGGAGGAGATTTAGAACCACTCCAATGGCCATTCAAGTGTAAGCTCACCTGCCACATCATGGCAAAATCTCTTAGGCGAGTCATGGCAGGTGACCTTACCCTTTAATGGCCATTGGAGTGATACACACACAAAAAAAAATACTTCTGTTATTACAAGAGCATAGGCATTTGAAATAGTGCGCAGGTGACTTTTTTCTTTTGTTTTTATTGTATGTATTATGGCTGATGTGTACTATAGTCATTGCTGCCGATAAGCTGTAGTGGGAGTTTGTCTGTTTGCAACTGCAGAATATGGCTGAGCAGTCAGAAAAAAAAGAAAAAGAGCCATGAGTCCACTGAACAAAATGGGGTGACATAAATGGCCTATACACATAAGTTCTGCAGGTGTAGGTTTTTAAATTACAGCTACAGCACTACTCACCCTATAAACAATTCAATAGCAAAGTGATCCTTCCTTATTAATTCAACTGTCAAAAAGGATGTTGAGAAATTGTCTAAAAACAAAATGTGTTTTATATAAGGTTTATAAATTGCAACAAGTCAGTTTTACCTATCCTATTAATCCTGCAGTGTTTTACAATGCAGGATAAAATCCACCTCTAACATTTGGTCACATGACACGGAAGCTCACAGGAAAGAATTGAATGCAATGCTTCCCTATGGGGAAGCTTGGATGTGTGGCACTTACTGCGCATGCACATATAATCCCCCAATGCTACTCTGAGAAACATTGGATCATTCCCAGAAGAAGCCATGCCTCCTCAATGACGTCACAGGAAGCGGTAAGATGAGAAGCACCGAAGGAATCTCTGCACTGGAATAAAGTACGGAACACCTTTATTTTAATTTACAAAGGGGGTGGCAGAGACACCTGTATAACTAATGGCTTGGGCACTGTAGCGTTAGGAAAACGTGTTTAATAACATACTTGGAAACCATTAAAAAGTTAAATGTACCTATTCTGTTCGCTACTTATTTTTAATAAATCAGAATACTTTTACTAGTACAATGTCTACATTACATTTTATTGGCTAATATAGAACAGTCTGCAGTAATAAAGACTTTACAAGGAGATGCATGAAACATTTATAAGCACTGTACTTGTAAATGCATATAGTACTTGCTACAGTTTGAAAATCTACTTAGAAAAAAAAAAAAAACAGGACAAAGAAAAAAGTAGAAAAAAACCCCTCTCTCCTCAATGTCATGAATGACTGAGAGGTTAACATAATTCATTTCACCCCTTACTTTCAATGAAAATATGTTCCACTTTTAATGACATTTAGTCCCTAAAGACCTCATGACAGTACGTGGCGTACTGCTTATTTACAAGCTCAGTTGGGATATACATTTGTGAAATGACCGAGTCATTCCTTCTTGGAAAAGGAGATTTAAATAACTAAACAGCAACAAAAATTTTGCATTTAAAAATAAATTGGTTTTTATATACATACAGTTTACAAAACTCTGGGCATCTTTGACTGTTATGCAGAGTTAAGCTTTTTGGATAAACTTTTCAAATGATTTAATCTTTTGGAAAATATTAATCTGATTTTTTTCGAAATTGATATAGGAAAATATGATATAGGTACATTAGTCAATTGCACATAGAAAATCTCACACTGGTGTAAATCAAGAATACATTTCTGGAATTTTTTTTTTTTTAAACAATGGGAATTATACTTTTTATTTCATTGATGAATGACACCTATGAAGTCAAAATAATTAAAAACAAAATAAAATGCAACAAAGGATATCTAATAAAGGCCAGTTTCCTACAACTGGGTTAATCATACACGTGTTCCATTAATGACATGTCCAGACTTTCTTTAATATTGCTCTGCATTCTTTGCAGCGGGTCATTAAACAGCTCTCCCTCTGAGGAAAAGGGGATGGTACATTCTTCTCCTACTTCCACTCCTTCCTTGTCTCTGAAGAGAGGAATTATTCGCTCACTCTGTGAGGCCCTAATGGATTATTTTGCACTGGGCGCCAGCAGATCAATAACAGTAGCATAATAAACAGCAGGGTATGAAATAACCTGCTATTTAAAACTGCTGGTCCACATCTTGGAATGTGCTTCCCCAATATACCATATGCCTTACCTTTTGTTCAAAACAGTTTATTTACTTGTACACAGTGCAGTTCTTAATAAAATACAAGTTGAGGGATTACTGATTAGGTTGAGAGTCCCTGAGTGCCTTGTGGTCATATTGCCTTACGCAACTCGAGACAGCTCTAATGTAAGATCTGTGAGTAGGGGTTAATGGCGAGACCAGCAAAAGGGAAGTGGTGAAAAGTTGAGGCTGGCAAAAGGGAAGAGAGGGGAGACAAGCAAAGGGGATAGGGGAATAGAAGGGAGACAAAGGGAAAACTGCAGTAGAGGAGAGACCAACAAAGGCAACGGAAGTGCCAATGGGCTGTGAGGCAACGCTTACATTTTTCTGCGCCTGAGGTTGGTGCAGAACATGAACCACCATTAAGCGAGTAAGAGGGCTTAGATCAAGCTGGCTCAAGGAAGACACCTTCAAAATTCGGGCCGGAGGTCAAGGCCCAGGCGGGGCCCATTGGTCTCCTTGTCTTGGCTGCCTAAAGAGTAGTCCGGCTCTAGGGAGGTAAAAGCGGATTTAAAACAACGCTAGGGGAGGGGATGTGCACCAGAAGCCTCTATAAACGGAGGAGAAAATAGACAGAGGTGGGGGGGTGTAATACTTCTTTTCCCATTAACTCTATTGGCTCTTAAATTTTAATTATTTATATAAAACCAAAATATTTCACAGAGCTATACAATGGGTAAAACAAGGCACAAAAATAAATTTTAACAAAATATGTCTGACATGTCTGGAAACAAGGTTAGCAGGGACATGCCCCCCAAAGAAGCTTACTATATTAAAAAAAATAAAAAATAAAGGGAAATAACTTAAACAGCCTTTGGAAAAGGTACATTGAATTATGTAGAGAATAGCACTAACATTTATTTATTTAAACCTTTGTTTGCCAACTTGCATGTTTAGAATGCATGAAGAACTCTCTTCACACATGTAGCTGGGTATAGGGGTTGCTGCATAAACTGTCTGAAGTCAACCTTATAGAAACGTATGTACACATCTTTACTAGAAGGGGAGAAAATGATTGACATTAGTTACAGTATACATTTTATACTGGCTAACGTAAAAATGTATCAGACATGAACAGTTTTATTAGATAGTGATCAGCAAACATTTTATAATTATAAATATGTATATAAATATTAATATAAACAGCAAATTTCCACAGTGGTAAAAAATCAGCTTCTTTGGTAGTTTGAACACAGACCTATTTTTTTTTATTTTTTTATTAATGCTACAATGATAACCAAACAATTTCTAAAAAAAAAAGAAATCCAAAATGTAATACAAACTTGTCTAACAGTTACAGTAACCATATTTCAAATGAATGGGTCAAGAAAATGCCCACAGGGAGAATGAGAAACAAAAAGGATTTTAAGGCCTAAATAGAACAAGAAGAGGACAAAGGGTTGCTGGTCAGCAAACTATTGTCACTTGCAATCCCTTTAAGCACTGGTCAATGAATAATTCAAATGCCTGCACTAATGTGTTTAACGTCACAATTGGGGAATAAGACTAGATAAAATCTACATCCCTTCAGTAAATAACCAAAATGTCCCTGCAACCTGCCTTTCAAATAAATAAAAATTTGAAAAACAGGCATTTCTACACATATAAAAATTAAACTGTAAATGTGGATGCATCCATCAGAGAAAGAGGCCAAATAAATAATTTACTTTGATGTTTTGAAAATTATTAAACAGGGTGGACAAAGGTAGACACCCAGATGTAGAATAAGTACAAAATATTTGCCAACCATAAACTGGCAAAACACCATGGACGTTAAAGTGCTATCACTGCTGTGATAAAAAAAGAGTAAAGACCGTGGGTTGTAATATTTTCGTGATGATTTATCAATGTGTCATTTTTACGTCTAATTGTTTGAAGCAATTTATTAAACTGCTGGATTTTTTTTTTTTAGTCTACAGCTCCTTTTTGGCCCATACCTGCCATTTTTTAATATGCATTTTTTTTAGCACCCATTAATTGTTTTGCCATTCTTTTTGCTTGCTGAACTGCTTGTGAAGAGCATGTCCTCTTTTTTCAATTTTACAAAAACTGTAGACAATAGAAATTTTAACTGTTTACACCCCCTGGCTGTCAGAAAATCAGTCCTATTACTTCCTGGTTGTTTAGCCCAGTGCAGCTAAAGTCAAGAGGCAGCAGATGGAGGTGGGGAGATATGCAGGTTTTGCAAGCTGTTTTAAGATATGCCCTAATGAAAAACAAAAAAAGCATTGTATCTACTAAACCATAATTATTGTTTTGGGGCGATGGAATATACCTTTATGAAGTTGATTACCCATGATGCTTTGCCAGGTTTTTTTTTTTAATCATAAGACATGAAGTCAAAACACCTTCAGTGCAAAATTATCATTTTTGTCCTAAGAGGAGTTGCTGTTCGTATACAATAATGCTGAGACTTTAACAATCACTTCTGCAGCTAAGTCACCCTTGTATCTTGTGAGTTAAAGCCTTGAGATAATCACATTTATGTTGTAATTCACAAGAATAGTGACAAGGGCTTAAAAAATGCAGCACAAACATCTCTTGAAACATGTGATGGATATTTGCATACAAATACATGTTTTCCAATCGCCATGTAGATGTTTCATGGTGATTTAAGGTTTATAAGCATGGTGCATTTATTAGACATGGGTAATTACAGGCATTTATAGGAACTCACATAAACTAACACTATTCAACTCCTGGTCTAAGTGCTGTATATTTGAATACATTCATGGATTACAATATATGGCAGCAAGACTAGTTCTAATAAGCAATTGATCAATTAAATGTTCCTTGCAGCTATCTTGAAACAGCACTGATCGAGAATGAATGGCAAATCAATACAATGAAAATGTATTAGTCACTGTGTTCAAACGCTCTAGAACCATCACTTTACTTCATTACACCAGAATATAAAACTCTAGGAGGGTTTTAATGATTGAGTTTGGACACTGGGAACACATACAAAATCCACAGAGTATTATCACACATAAAACTTTACTACA